CACCCACTCTCTCTCTCTCTCTCTCTCTCTCTCTCTCTCTCTCTCTCTCTCTCTCTCTCACACACACACACACACACACACACACACACACACACACACACACACACAAAAGTTCCATTGTGCCTATCCCAGCCAGTTCTTTCCAGCTTTCTGTTATAATTTAGATGTCTTTATTCTAGAGTTCATATAAAGAATCATATAGCATTTACTTTTTTCACTAAGGCTTCTTTAATGTAACAGTGTTCTTGAGATTCATCCTTGTATGTCAGCTGTTCATTCTTTTTTTGTTTTTGTTTTTACTAATAAGTGTTTGCAATATATAATTACATTTATCTTGGGGAATTGTTACACACACATACTACATGGTGATTGGTTTTACTTTACCTTCCCCTTGCCACCCTCTTGTCTCTCCCTAATCTCCAGATCACTTTCACATTTCTACAAACTACTCCATGTTTCCTATCATCTGCTTTTTATTTTGCCCTTTTTTTATATTTTAGGTTTCTCATATAAGGGAAACTTTGTGATATTTATCCTAAGGGTTACATAATGTATGATACCATTTATATAGCATTTGTTTTTGGCAGAGGGTTGCTATGGATTGAACCCAGGGGCCTCCTTTGTATGGCTGTATCACAATTTGTTTATCCATTCATCTGTTTGCAATTTGAATTTTTTCCTATTTTTGGGTAGCATGAGTAAAGCTGCTATGAATGTCTTTGGACATAGATTTTCATTTCTCTTGGACAGATACTGAGAAGTGGAATTGCTGTATGGTATTTTATTTTATTTATTTATTTTTTGTATGATATTTTAAATATACACTTTACAAGGAACTCAGACTTTTTCAAGGCTACTTGATCTCTTTATTTTCCATCCACTAATACATGGGTATATATGTGTTCCAATTTTTCCTTAGCTTCTTGAGGATATTTGTATCTTTTTTCATTAAAGAGATTGGCCTATAGTTTTCCTTTTTTTCTTAAGTCCCATCTAGTTTTGATATGAGAGTAATGCTTACTTACAGTAATGAGTTTGGCAGTGTCCCTTCCCTTTCAGTTTCACAGAACAGTTTGAGGAATATTGGCATTAGAATTCCCCTGAAGTTCTTGTAGAATTTTGTGGTGAATTGATCAGATTCTGGCTTTTTTTGTGTTTTATTTGGTAGGGTTTTTATTATTGCCTCTTTCATTATCTGTTATTGTTCTATTCAAAGTTTGTATATTTTCTTGGTAATTCATGCATGTCTAAAAATGTCTTCATTTCTTCTACTTTCTCTAATTTATCGGGATATGCATTTTTCAAAATAGTGTCTTTTAATCCTCTGGATTTGGGTAGTGTTCATTGTGATTTCACCTTGTTTCATTTCTAAATACATTGATACAGTGTTTCTAAGAAGTTCCTTTGGTAAGTTTGACTAAGACTTTATTAATATTGTTTATCCTTTAAAATAATAAACTTTATTCATTGATCCTTTGTGTTTTTTTATAGCCTCAATTTCTTTAATTTCTCTGATCTTTATAATTTCTTTCCTTCTACTAGTTTTGGATTTCAGTTGCTTTTTTTCTAAAACCTTGAGGTGCATCATCAAGTTATTTATTTGGGATTGCTCCATTTTTTTTTTTTCAAATGAGCGCATTCACACCTGTCAACTTCCCTCTTAGCACCACTTCCATTGTGTCCCATATGTTTTGTTAGATTTTGTTTCCATTGTTTCAGTGAATTGTTAAACTTCTTCTGTGACATATTGATTATTCAATAATGTACTATTTCATGTCCATGTGTTTGCATAACTCCTGTGTTTTCTTTTGCTATTCATTTCTGCTTTCTTTCTGCTATGACCCAATAGTATGCAACAGATTATTTCAATTCCTTTGTATTTAGTAATGCTTTTTGACCTAAAATGTGGTGTAGTTTTGCAAAAGTTCCATGTGCCACTGAGGAGAATATATATTCTGTTGTTGTTGGATGAAGCACTGTGTAGATAGCTCTTAATTCCATTTGTTCAGCAGTACATTTAACTCTGATATTTCTTTGTTGTTTTTTTGTCTGATTGACCTGCCCATTTGTGAATGGCATACTAAAGTCCCCCGATTATGATTATATCAGTCTCTTTCTTTCCTTTTATGTCCAGTAGTTTTCTGTTTTATGACCCTGGCTGTACCAACATTCACTGCATTGATGTTTATGGTTAACTCTTTCTCTTGAAATGTTCTGGTATATAGTGGTCATCTTTGTCTCTACGAATTTGTTTTGACTTGAAATCTGCTGTGTCAGAAAATAAGATAACTACCCCTGTTTGCTTTCAGGCTCTGCATAGCGT